ACCTCGGTAACTCTTCTGCCTGTTATCTGCAAGATTGTTAACGCTTCACTCAAAAGTGGATCTGTCCCCTCCTGTTTAAAAACTGGCGTAATAAAACCTTTACTAAAGAAACCTTCACTTGATCATGAAATTCTTGGAAATTATCGCCCTGTCTCAAATCTTAAAACTATCTCAAAAATTATTGGTAAAGTTGTTGCTAATCAATTGTCTACTTATCTGTCTGCGAATGATCTTCATGAACCTCTTCAGTCTGCGTATAAAAAACTTCATAGCTGCGAAACTGCCCTTACACGTGTTCAAAATGACATTCTTCAACAAATTGATAATCGTTCTGGTGTTGCATTGGTTCTACTTGATCTGTCTGCTGCGTTTGACACTGTTGATCACTCTATTCTACTTAATCGTCTATTTTCAAAATTTGGGGTCTGTGGAAAAGCCTTGCAATGGTTTAAGTCTTATCTCTGTGGTCGTACTCAATTTGTATCTGTTAATGGATGTTCTTCTAAAGTTCTTGGTGTTGATTGTGGTGTTCCTCAAGGATCCGTTCTTGGTCCGCTACTCTATCTCCTGTATACGTCTCCACTTGCTGAAATCCTTCGCCGCCATGGTATGTCCTTCCATTTCTACGCCGATGATACCCAGCTCTTCATGCCCTTCTCCTGTTATGATAATCTTGATATGAATAATGCGATGAAGAGAATAGAAGCCTGTCTATGTGATGTAAATACTTGGATGACTGAAAACAAACTGAAACTTAACAGGGACAAAACWAAGTTATTATCTTTATCCTCTAAATTTGGTCCAAAATTGTCTGCTCCTCTTCTGCACTTTGGTGAWGAAATTATCAAGTCTTCTACTAGCGAAAGAAACATTGGTGTGATTTTTGATTCTGAAATGTCTTTGGTTCCACATGTCAATTATATCTGTAAAACGTCATTTTATCATCTACGTAACATTTCTCGTATCCGTAAATTTATATCTGTGAGTACTGCTGAAAAACTTGTCCATGCCTTTGTAACTTCAAGACTTGATAATTGTAACTCTCTTCTATATGGTATATCTGGTGTTCACCTGGATAAGCTACAACGTGTTCTTAATTCTGCTGCCCGAATTGTTACTCTCTCTAAACGTCGTGATCACATTACTCCTTTACTAAAAGATCTACACTGGCTCCCTGTTCGTCAACGTATTAATTACAAGATTCTTCTACTTACCTTCAAAGCACTACATGGTCTTACTCCGTCTTACATTTCTGAACTGATCTCTGTATACAAACCTAAAAGAACGCTTCGGTCCTCTAAAGAACTACTCCTATCTGTTAAACCTTACTCCATGAAAACATATGGCTCTCGCTCTTTCTCTGTTGCTGCCCCTACTTTATGGAACTCTCTCCCATCTGATTTAAGAAACATTGACTCTTTGCTGTCCTTTAAGAAAGAACTCAAAACTTATCTATTTAGTTTAGCTTTTAGAGTTTAATTTGTTTGTTAGTTATATCAGAGCGCATAGAACAGACTTGTATATGCGCTATACAAGTTTTCATTATTCATCTGCTGATTCAATTCAATTATTCACAGTTATCTATCAATTACACGCTCAAGGATTGTCTCGCTTCGATGCCAAGGCTCTGCTCAGAAGTACATGGTTATGTACTTCTGCTATGCTACATTTCAAGATTGAGTTAATCCATGTAAACCAAAAAATGATGCAAAATCTTTTCGGTAGTTATCACTACAACATGCAATGACTGACCAAATGGCAAGAGCGATTTTAAGGACGGCAAATTTTGGGCGACAACCGGCGGCACTGAGAAAATTCGCTGTAAACCTGGATTTATTAAGAGGATTAATCAATGCAGGGGCGGATCCAGGAATTTTCTAGAGGGGGGGAATTTATTTTCCAAATAATATTAAACACCAGCATGCACAAGTTTGCTATTTTCGTGAGTGTTACTTAAATGAAATGAAAAGGAAATAAAACGTGTCAAGATACATCAATTTCACATTGGCCACTCTTTAAACTTATACTAAAATGAAATACTTCAGATTTTTTTTTACAGTGCGGCTATTGAAACCGGGGCAAAGAAATCACAATTTAAATTGAAAACAAAGCATTCAAGCTAAGGAAACCTCATCTCATTAATCTTTAGTTCTTTGTAATACAACTGATCAAATGTTTTTAACTGGAAAGCCTTGTTTTCAATCTAAATTGTAATTATTCTTATATTTCTAGTTTTCGTTAATTAAGTTTATATTTTTAATTATATTGTTTTGAGTTTCTATATTTCAACTAGATACATCARCAGGATTGAAAACGAAAAATTATATTTTTATCGGATTTTTTTTTGGGAAAGGGGATTTTTTTTATTATCATAATTTTTTTTTTCATTTGGGAGGGGGGGAATATTCCCCGTTTTCCCCTCCCCTGGATCCGCCCCTGCAATGGAAGATACAGCAGCATTTTAATGAGTTTTCTTTTATTGCTTAAAAAACATTTTTTTGACGAGCAAACTAAATCATGATACCGATTCACTACACTTTAAAAACTACAAAGGATCATGTTGATTGTTCTTTTGTGATTATATATAATTGCATAACTAATCGTACATAGCTATAATTTTACTAGTTGCATAAGCACTTCCACTATTCTACCCAATAAAACACATTTTACACTCAAGATAATGTCATACGCAGCTGTCATGATACTAGATCTGTGACTGGAATGTTTCTGTTTTGTTTCCAGAATTAATAACCTCTATGAATTGTGTGAATTAGTGATATGATCATCCATCCAAAAACATATGTTTCTCAATGGAAAGAGTATATTCAACTTCTTTAGAAGTATTTTGAAGACTCAAATAATCGCGCTTGACCCTTTTAAACCAAAGTTCTTTGATGTTATTTGAGCTCCTGGAGACAAGACCAATCCTGACATCCTCAGGAAGGAAATAAACGTGCTCTATAGCAACACGACGCGCCGGGCGGCTTTCTCCAGTGAAGCTGAAGGAGAAGATACTCTTGTAACCCTTGATTACAACCCTTCCCTCTGATAGGTATAAGATCTTAGTGTGGGGGCCGAAGCTTGGGCAATTATGATATAGACAGACGCTTGCGTACAGAGAGCCATCTGATGTGTTTACTACTGTAATGCTATGAGCATAGTAGATCGCCAGAAGACTTCCACTTTCAGAGAATAAAACCGCGGACGGATCTTTACCTGCTGAATTGACGTAACTAGCTGTTCGACACCTTAAATGTCTGAAATAGATGGGAATTCGATTGACAACATCTTCATGATTGCAGATGAACAACTCTCGAGAAACAACATGGTTGTCGAATTGTTCACTTCCATACAGTTCATCACCTATCTGTACGTCTAGCCATAGCATTGGATAACAAAATAGTCTGTCTTCGTCTGTGAATCTCAAGTCAACAATTTTAGTGGAAAAACGATGAGCAGCACTGGTTCTTACCAAAAGAATGTGCCCTTCATTGCTCACAGAAAGGACATCCTCGTTCTGTTGTACTTCACAAGGACCTCCCACCAATGTACCCGTTCTTCCTTCCACGATGTAGATTTTATTGTTGAAGCATCTTGCCACGATGTACCAGGGCTGACTGCCAAACACATGTAAAGACTTGGGCAAATTTGGTAATCTATAGCTAGTGACCTTCTTCATGGTGGCAGCATCTACAATCGTAATGTCATCTCCAGGATGGTACTGGTAGTCATGAACCATAATGGAGTGATTATCTTGGGCCATGCGTAGAATGGCATTTAAGCTAAATTGGAGTTCACCGATGAGTTCTCCATCGAGTCGATATTTCTTCACCAACGTCTTTTTATTGCACTTTGCTACGAGAAAAAAACCGCCATTGCATGGAAGAATCTGTGCATCTTCAGCAGTGTATGTAAGTTTTAGAAGTGTCTCCCTTTCATGGTACGGGAGACGGTTCTCTCTGAGATAATCAAGTGCCAATCTCTTTGGCTTCAATTTGAAGGAAGTGATATGTACGAAATGTGAACTGTAAGCATTGCAAAAATGTTAACTTTGGTACAATGCATTCATTCGAATCAAGAACATAAGGTCTATGGAAGGTTTTTATTCCATCATAAATATCTTGAAGGTCAACTGAGAGTCGTAGTTTTGTTGAGTGATCGGAATGTAACTGATTCGTCTTCAATAGTTCAGCAACATAAATTGCCATGTTACATAGCACATACGGATCGGCTACGATTGCATGTACTTTCTCTTCATTGAAACTTTCTTCCATATAATCGAATCCAAACTCAAAAGCATAGATTTCTTTGTCTGTTATGTGGGTTGTTTGATTTTGTTTCTTCGACATTTCTTGCTTCATATTCAATAGGGCATTGTAACAAGCACTGGCAAGTACACCAATTCCATCCCCTTGAGCAACAAAGTCATGGTCTCCAGTTGTCAACCAATCAACAACGGTCTTGTGGAATGGTGACACGTGATCGTTCTCTACAGGGAACAATTGATGAAGAAGGTTGATGGCCTCTTTTTTCTTGTTGTTTGGTACCCTTGTCTCTTTCAGCGGCAAACCAAGGATATCATAGAAAATGTTCTTCTCGATTGGAGATTTAGCTTTAACTACAGCATCAAGCATGTTGTAGAATCCTTCTTCACTTTTTAAGTGTGGAGTTATTTCGTCATGTAGTCTAGAGAAGTAGTCTTCGTAGACAGCTGTGATACCTTTGCCTTTTGGGAAGTGCTCAAGTGTTTCTGCTAATGAGTTAATCCCTGGCTTCTTTAAGAAATCGATAACAAAGGAGGCCACCAGAAACAATCCACCAGTCAAATCAACAAGTTGTTCCATGTGACTGTGCTGTTGCTGATCAGAAGAAAAGTGGGGCAGCTCTTTCAGTTTGTCAGAGAAAAAGCTTTGAAGATCTTCAGTATTCTGTGAATCTTTTGGATCAATTTCAGTTGTGGCCCCTGATACTTGAGAAGAAATACTTGGAGGTGGTCTTGTTGTCATGACAAATCGCAGCCATGATGGTAAATAATATAGTCTTTCACGAATGACTTGGAAGAATTCTTTCTTCAAACTGTTGCAACACTCATCAAGGGCATCTATGACAACAACAAGCTTGCCTGTTGGCTCATGACCAAGATGCGAAAATGGCTCTTCAAATAACAAAGTAAAAAGTTCTGTACAGCTTAGATTTGAGATATCGCGGTTTCTCATGTGGTCTGATTGCAGAACCTTCTCTACAGCAACTTTGTATTCTGGAAGATAGCGACAGAGCTGCCATGCAACAGACTGCAGCATTAACCTTGGGTTATTTCGAGAGGGATCGTTGTGTTGAAAGAAATGACAGGCAGCAAGGATACTTTGGTTTTCTTGACTGTCTTGATACGTTTGGCATATTCTGGCAGCAAGTACTGATTTGCCCATGCCAGGCCCAGCTTGTATCACCAAGACTTCCTTGAAATCAGATTCAACTTGAGCTTTGACTTTTTCCAATATCCAAGCTCTTGTGTTTGGATGATACAGACTGCATTTTGAAGAAATATGGCTTCTGAATTCTTGGTGAAAAAGCTTATGAGTTTCACTAGGTATTGACTTTTGAAGTTGGCTAATTTTTTCTCCAATGTGTGTAAATCCTGATGCCATAGAAGACTTGATGTCAGTTTCTTCTGACTGCCATTCTTTCAACAGTTTGTTGTAGTCTTCAACTCCCAAAGGACGTGACTTTAAGTCATCGATATCATCTTGGTCGAGTCCTAGTGAAACAAGAGCAATTGAAATGTCCTTCCAGTATGCCTCATACTGTATATCATCTACTTCAGCATTTCCACTGTGACCAATAACAGTGTTTCTGTAATACTTAATCCTTGCAAGGTTAGCTTCAGTTGATGTATCAACTGGTGGTGGCAAAGCATCCCATCCAGTAGCTGGTTTAGTAAGTCCACAAATGTTCCTTATAAGAACAAATAACAAAGTGATGTCAATATCTTTTGTACTGGGGCTGGTACCACTGGAAGGGTAGAGCTTGTCCCACTGTTCAATATTCAAAACCTTCCCTTTTGGCTTCCTGAGTTTCTGTAGTTGTGGTTTCTTAGCTTTAAGAGTTGCTGCCAAAGTTGCTGGTGGACAATGATGATCCACTACAGATCTCACAGCAGTTCCTCCTCCATCATAAAGGAGCCGACATAGTTTTGCATGGTTGACTTTTTCTTTTGTTTCAGTCGCCCAATGTGTAGCCATACCAGATATTAATATTGACAGTTTACATGCACTTTGGATCTGATTGGGAGAAAAAAAAAATACAGGGAGCCCTGTAAATAAGATGGGAATACGATGTAAATTCGAATTACCGGATATTTACATACATTTCCCATCATATTTACATGTATTTACAGGGTTCAAAGCGCGCGGTTTTTTCCAGTGGAAAAGATAAGTTAATTCAGGAAATTATATTTCAAATTTAAAGTGCCTATGACGCCTTACAAAATAATTTCTTTATAAAGTAAATAATTGAATTGTGAAATATTTCTGCATTTCAGTTTTACGTCTTTGAGTTTTGAAGGTTTAATCTTCCAATATGCTAATGATAATGACGTCAAGGGAGGCTTCATTAGCTATACGAACTTTGAAACAGTCGCTCAAAAATGTTTTCATGAACACCATCTGGGAATATGGTTAATTATTCCCTACATTGCATACGATAARTTTAATGCCATGAAACTATTTTTAAGCGACTCCCATTGTCTCTGCAATTACATGGTCTGGAGYTGGCGGTGCTAGAGACGGWGTCATTTAGGAYCTTGGCGTTGTGTTGTTTGACAATCTTGAAATGTTGGCAGTACACGAGCTGAGTTTTAGAGTGTTTGTGTTAAAAATCTTACTTWGTTTATGTCCTTAGGGATGTATTTTTGACCAGGCAGATGAAARACTTTTCTACAGTAGTCTTGACCTCAGAGTTGTATAGTGGGTTGAACCACGTGATGTTTCTCTTTCTGGTTTTCCTTTTTGGAGGTTTCTGGTCTTGTTTGTACTTGAAGTCGGGGATATTGTAGCCGTTATTCCTTAGGGCGCTTTCGTATAGAGGTTTTCCTCTGTTGAACTCATCCTGATTGCATGAGAGGTCTGCAATCCTCTAGTTTATAATGCTCGGTAGTTCTTTTATGATGGGTTTAGGTGGGTGGGTGGATGCGGCTTTGATGTRGTCATATATTATATCATATATCTAACAAACTGACCAAGGTTTTGAGTTGTATGTCCTCTTATTGACACGCTTTTGAATTCATAATATTCAAAACTCAAGTAGACCCGTGTGCACAGGTTTTCATAACTCAAAACTATGTGCAATGATTTGTTTTTTAACAGATTTTAAGTCTAAAATTTATCGAAAATCATTTTTTTTTTTCAATTTAGCGCGCACAATACGTGATTGTGTCAGCAGTGTATGTTCTCTTACTGGCAGATAATTTATAGAATTTATAAAAGTGTTGTAAAAATATATTATATATCAGGGAGCACAATTTTTGATCTATTATTAGTTGTATCTATACCCACCAAACTATGGGCTAAAATTACTCGTTCTCGTCAACTAAGAATTCGATCAGCCGAGAACGTCCTCATGGACTAGATCAACTCGCACTCCACTTGATCTACCTTGTGTTCTTGGAACGTTTCCGGGTATGATATTTATGTAAAAGGCTCCTCTTCACAACGTTCACATTTCAATTAAATACTGACTTGTTCAAGCAACTTGTTGATTGCTTCAAGCTCAATATGTCTACAAGAATTTTTTCTGTTTTCAAGGCGTTTCCCCGGTATTTTTTTGGATTTCAAGAAGTATGCCATGAACCTTATTGACTGCATTCTTTGACTTCTTTCACTTTCATCGTGATAGAATTTTATGATCGTGTGATCTTATTCTAGTACCTCACATGATATCAATACCTTTTTACATGTCTATATATCAACTTCCTTGATCAATGAACCCACGTGTTTCTGTTTGTCTAGGCTACAGTACTGGCTTGGTGGATAACAGACCGTATCATGGATGGCTGTCGAGGTTGTCTGATTGCTTCCCAGCAAGTCCTGACAGGCAACACAGCAACCCCAACTGTAACGTTTTAGATGATCGAAAGTAAAATACAATAAAAAGTACAATATAAACAAACGTGAGAATTATACATGGCCAAAAGATCTGAACGAAAAGGACTAGTACTGATTCGAGGCTTTGCCAATGCATATTGCTTGATTTACCTGATTTACCGTAAAATAGAGGCGGGAAAAGTTTCGGGGGTGGAAGGGGAATATTTCAACTTAACTCATTGTCGACTGATGTCGATTTGTTGATTTTTGAGCTTTTTCGACCCTAACATCTTGATAAAATAATTGACTTCCATATAAGGTGCTGTCAATAAAACTATTTCGGATTTGAATTCCCTAGGGAGCATTAATTTATGCAGGGCTTTGTAAATTTAGGTCAGACCGTTTGTTTATCGACTGGTTGAGCCTAAATTTACCTAAAAACCCGTTTATAAGTGTTTTTTTGAGCTTTTTGCTGCCACAGGAGCCCCTAGGCTTGCATCATTAAGCTTGACTAGTCGGCAGAGACAATCTTCTGGAAGAAATCAGAGGTGGAAAGCGATTNACTATAATTTTACCAAGGTGATCATGGTATTAAATGACTACTTAATCGTGTACATAACAATGTATTATCCCTAATATTTGACTTTGGAACAAAAGAGATAATCTCTAAGTGTTCAGAAGCACTTCCTTCGAGTTCAGATTTCTCAACATTTTGAGACGCCGTCATATTTTTTTCGTTTTGCAATCCAAACTGTTTGACTCAGACTGTCGAAGCACAGACAGGGTCAAAGACATTTTTAAAAATTCATAAAAATCAAGGAAAACGGAGCTTTCATTTTCACGTAAATTCTTAACAACATATTCTAAAAACAAGTACAACGTTTGAGACGTTTGATCATCTAAGTTACTGGTTATTATACCAAAAAAAGGGAAAATGCTGAATGCTTTTGAGCGGGAGCGGGCGACTGAGTTAGGCTCCACGCAATTTCAATGATAGCTGATTACATTAGGGAAAACTTATTTTCCGAGGCTACAAAGTACTCATTGTTTCAGTTTGGATATTATATCATCGCTCCTGCAAATGCGTAAAATTATTTAAAAAAAGGCTTTTGATACTTCCATGTCAATGAAGCTCTCAATATCGAGAGATCTGACGCGGGCTTTATGGGTTTGAACAGCTTGAAGCGTATTTCTTGGGATATAAGAAATATATTTTCTCCCTTGCATGAGTAACTTTATATTGTAACTATTATACATAAACCATAGTCCATGAAATATCGAAAAGATAATGTACAATTATTGGTACCTTTTTATATATCCATCATCTTTCTTGACGAAGTCGTATTCTGGCGTTACCGTCGTCTGGTCTGTCACATTTGCATAGGACCATAATAACCTAAAACAACGACAGGTGGGATATTTTGCTGCGCAGCATGCGGGCAAAGAAAGATGAATGCGCATGCCCGCGGTGCGCTAGCGCGGGAAATTGTTTTGTCTTTTGAATATAAGATTTCTGCATCATCTTGAAATAGAAAGTAGCGGTTAAGTTCCCTTGCACATGCAGAGCGAGTCCACAAATGTGAGCTTGCGAAGATAGAAAACGCCTCTTTTCACACCTACATTCAGTTTTCTATTGCAAGGGCTCACCCATCTTCAGTTATGGCAATGGCCGCAAGATATCCTCCTCTGTTTCTTCCTCATATTCAGTCCCACAAGTGAAAGCCAATGTTGATCAATCGATCATTAACAAAGCAATAAACGTCGTCTTCATCAATAGCTGTCGTCTTCATCTGCCGATTATTAATGTACATATATATCGTCCCCCTCATTCAGTTGTGCTTTTGGAACGGAATTTAGAACAATTGAGTTAATCCATGTAAACCAAAAAATGATGCAAAAACGTCCCGGCAAATATCGCCACAATAACAACTGACAAATGTCAAAGACGATTTGCATGAACTGACCAGATGAAAGACACAGCAACATTTTAATGATTTCAGTTTTCTTGCATTACGTAATAATATTTTGTTTTTACGAGTAACCTAAAGCATCTTACCAATACGCTACGCTTTAAAAACTACAAAGCATTGTAGATTGCTCTTTTTTAAGAAGTAATAATTAGAAAACTTCGATTTTAAGCTGTTTTTGTAATAATAAAAATTTGGATTATAGAACTACATAAGTACAGCATTATAATAACGTTTAAAGTTCATGTTTTTCGAAGTTATTCTCCTCAATAAAGCACATCTTGTTCTCTACAAAATGTCATACGCAGCCGTCCTACTAGATATGTGACTGGAATGTCTCTGTTCTGTTTCCAGAATTTATAACCTCTATGAATTGTGGGGGTTGATATGATTATCCCTCCAAAAATATGTATTTCTCAATGGTAAAAGTGTGTTCACGTTCGACACCCATTTGAAGAAGGAGATCATTATGCTTGATTAGACTTTCACACCAAAGCTCTCTGATGTTATTTGAGCTCGAGGAGATAAAAAAAATCCTGACATTCCCAGGAAGGAAATAAACGTGCTCTATAGCAACACGACGCTCAGGGCGGCTTTCTCCAGTGAAGCTGAAGGAGAAGATACTCTTATCCTTTATTACGATTCTTTCCTTTGAGAGGTATAAGATCTCTGTGCTGGAGCCGAAGCTGGTTAGGCTATTATGATACAGACAGACACTTGTGTACAGAGAGCCGTCTGAGGTGTTTACTACTGTAATGCTATTAGCATTATAGAAAGCCAAAAGATGTCCATCTTCAGAGAACAAAGCCCCGGGCCAATGATAACATGTTTTATTGACGTAATCTGTGCTTCGGCACTTCAAAAGCCTGAAATAGATGGGGATTCTCTTGTCAATCTCTTCATGACGACAAAGGAACAACTCGCAAGAAACAACATGGTTGTCGGATTGGTTTTTCACCCATTGCATTGGAATACAAAGTAGTCTGTCTTTGTCTGTGAATCGTCCATCAATGTAAGCAGACATACTAGGAGGATCACTGGTTCTAACTAAAAGAATGTGACCCATATTGCTCACACAAAGGACATCCTCGTTCTGTAGTACTGCACAAGGATCTCCCACTAATCTACCAGTATCTCCTTCAACGATGTAGATTTTATTGTCGAAGCATCTTGCCACGATGTACCAGGGGTGGCTGCCAAACACATGTAAAGACCTGAGCAAATTTGGTAATCTATAGCTAGTGACCTTCTTCATGGTGGCAACATCTACGATAGCAATGTCATCTCCAGGATGGTTCTCATAGTCATGAGCCACAATGAAGCAATTATCGGGGGACATGCGGAGAATAGCTTTTTTAAAGTTGAGTTTACCAACGACCTTTCCATCAAATTGACATTTCTTTACCGTAGTCTTTTGATTGCATTCCTCTGCGATTAAGAACCCACCATTGCATGAAAGGATTTTTGTATCTTTTCCAGAATTTGCAAGTTTTAGAGATGTTTCCCTTAAATGGTACGGGAGATGGTTCTCTTTCAGATAATGAAGAGCTCTTTCTTCGGTTTCAATTTGCAGGAGGTTATATGTGCGAAATGTGAACTGCAAGCATTGCAAAATTGTTAACTCTGGTACTATGCATTTAGTTGAATCACGACTTTCAATTCCATGCAAGGTTTTAATTTCATCATAAATGACTTGCAGTTCAACTGAGAGTCGTCGCTTTAAAGGATCAGCACCGAAACGCGGCCCAACGGCGGTTTTCAATTTTTCAGAAGTATAAATTGCCATGTTACATAGCACATACGGATCGGCTACGATTGCATGTACTTTCTCTTCATTGAAACGCGCACTTTCTTCCATATAATCGAATCCAAACTCAAGTGCATAGATTTCTTTGTCTGTGATATGGGTTGGTTGACCTTTTTTCTCGAATATTTCTTGCTTGGCATTCATTAGGGCGTTGTAACAAGCACTGGCAAGTACACCAATTCCATCCCCTTGAGCCGCAAAGTCATGGTCTCCAGTGGTCAACCAATCAACAACGGTCTTGTGGAATGGTGACACGTGATCGTTCTCTACAGGGAACAATTGGTGAAGAAGGTTGATGGCCTCCTTTTTCTTGTTGTTTGGTACCCTTGTCTCTTTCAGCGGCAAACCAAGGATATCATAGAAAATGTTCTTCTCGATTGGAGATTTAGCTTTAACTACAGCATCAAGCATGTTGTAGAATCCTTCTTCACTTTTTAGGTATGGAGTTATTTCGTCCCGTAGTCTCGAGAAGTAGTCTTCGTAGACAGCTGTGATCCCTTTTCCTTTTGGGAAGTTCTCAAGTGCTTCTGCTAATGAGTTGATGCGTGGCTTCTTTAAAAAATCAATAACAAAGGAGGCCACTAGAAACAACCCACCAGTCAAATCAACAAGTTGTTCCATGTGACTGTGCTGTTGCTGATCAGAAGACAGGTGGGACAGCTCTTTCAGTTTGTCAGCGAAAAAGCTTTGAAGATCTTCAGTATTCTGTGAATCGTTTGGATCAATTTTGGTTGTGGCCCCTGGTACTTGAGAAGAAATACTTGGAGGCGGTCTTGTTGTCATGACAAATCGTATCCATGATGGTAAATAATATAGCTTGTCACGAATGACTTGGAAGAATTCTTTCTTCAAACTGTTGCAACACTCATCAAGGGCATCTATGACGACAACAAGTTTGCCTGTTGGCTCATGACCAAGATGCGAAAATGACTCTTCAAATAACAAAGTAAAAAGTTCTGTACAGCTTAGAACTGAGATATCGTGGTTTCTCATGTGGTCTGATTGCAGAACCTTCTCTACAGCAACTTTGTATTCTGGAAGATAGCCACAAAGCTGCCATGCAACAGACTGCAGCATTAACCTTGGGTTATTTCGAGAAGAATCATTGTGTTGAAAGAAATGACAGGCACCAAGGATACTTTGGTTTTCTTGACAGTCTTGATACATTTGGCATATTCTGGCAGCAAGTACTGATTTGCCCATGCCAGGACCAGCTTGTATCACCAAGACTTCGTTGGAATCAGATTCAACGTGGTCTTTCACTTTTTCCAGTATCCAAGCTCTTGTGTTTGGATGATACAGACTGCATTTCGAAGAAATATTGCTTCTGAATTCTTGGTGAAAAAGCTTATCAGTTTCACTAGGAGTTGACTTTTGAATTTGCCTAATTTGTTCTCCAATGTTTGTAAATCCTGATGCTATAGAAGACTTGATGTCAGATAAATGATCTTTGGTGTCAGTTTCATCCAATTGCCATTCTTTTAGCAACTTGTTGTAGTCTTCAACTCCCACAGGACGTGACTTTAAGTCATCGATATCATCTTGGTCGAGTCCTAGTGAAACAAGAGCACTTGAAATCTCCTTCCAGTATGCCTCATACTGTATATCATCTACTTCAGCATTTCCATTGTGACCAATAATCTTGTTTCTGTAATACTTAATCCTTGCAAGGTTAGCTTCAGATGATGTATCGGCTGGTGGTGGCAAAGCATCCCATCCAGTAGCTGGTTTGGTAAGTCCACAAATGTTCCTTATAAGAACAAATAACAAAGTGATGTCAAAATCTTTTGTGCTGGGGCTGGTACCACTGGGAGGGTAGAGGTTGTTCCACTGGTCAATATTCAAAACCTTTCCTTTTGGCTTCCTGAGTTTCTGTAGTTGTGGTTTCTTAGCTTTAAGAGTTGCTGCCAAAGTTGCTGGTGGACAATGACGATCAACTACAGCTCTCACAGTAGTTCCTCCTCCATCATAAAGGAGCCGACATAGTTTGGCATGGTTGACTTTTTCTTTGTTTTCAGTCGCCCAATGTGTAGCCATACCAGATATTAATATTGACAGTTTACACTTTGGATCTGATTGGGAGAAAATTAAGTAGAATCACAATAAAGATAATCTAATTTAGAAGGTTTACATTTTAAATTTGAAAGGAGTTTCTAAAAATACAATAACTTATTCAAATTCTCACAAATAGTAATTCATGAATTGTGAAGTCTTTCTCTCTGGAAATTCAATTTATACTATTGCATCACACAAAAGTTGAGCACACGAATAGTTGCTGTGTGCTTGTTACTTGCGGATCGGCGAGTCTTCCAAATAGAATTTTAAGTAAAGGATTTATGAATACAGGGTTTTTTTCGTTAAAATCTTATTAAATTTTAACTTCAATTCTAGACAAGCAGGGTCAAGCGTCGCGGCAAAGACCTGAAAGTTAAAAGACAAGTCTAGCCACTATAAATTGTGTAATATTAGCACCTGTGGCCAAGTGGTAGTGCCTTTGATTTCCCAGGCCCAGGTTTGAGATCCAGATGAGTACATACAGAAGTACATAACCAGAAGTGTCCATCTCCCCAATAATATCGCCACCATCAGATGTCCCGATAATCTATTTTTAGACAACCAATCACAATGCGCGCACATATTACACGGCACCTGATTGGTCCTTCTTGATCTACTTCAAGAGCGGACAAGAAAGTAGTAGTCGATGGAGGCGAGCGAATTGAAGTTCGCATTTACGAGAATTTTACTCCTTTTGCTGAACAATCATTTTTGAATTCTATACAAAACATACTTTACTATATGATCAATGTAGCAAAAGTATTTCAAGAGCAATATGGTCTGCGAAAACAAGGGAAAAGTTCAGACAAAGATGAAGAAAAATGTAAAACAGCGTGYTAAGAAAAGTAGTGTAAAGTAGCTTCCTTACAGTCAAATAGAGCTGGACTTAAACAAAGCCAAAGGTAAAGTAATTTTCGACTTTTAACGTGAGATGGAAAAGCTGTAAATTTTCGGTAGGCGGGGTTTGTTTTGAAGTTCAAGTTAGCTATCGATATTTCTTTGATGACTTTTCTTATTTGTGGCTTTTCACAACTTATCTTGTTTATTGTTTGGTTTTCGTTATTWCCCTCTGTACCTATTCKCTAGTTTGTTTATTCCTCACTTTTTCTTTCAAAGAACAATCATTTTTCAACTCCTTACACAGTGAAGAGTTCACAATATAATATGAACTTAAGTAATTTGAACATTCGCAAAAAGAGAGTTTTTGGTTGACTTTTTGTGACATTTTTCGCACTCGGGCATCGTTTTGTATTACTTTTGCCCTTTTTATAAAGCTATTTAGATCCTAAAATATCTTTACTACAATTCTATGTATAGTCTAAGGGTCTTTTAATTGTATTAGAACAGATTTCTTATTAAAACGAGAACAATTCTCGCCACAAAAATTACATTTTTGCAGACATTTCTTCGCACTCCTTTTTTCTGCATCTTTTTCATCTTTGTCTGAACTTTTCCCTTGTTTTCGTAGACCATATTGCTCTTGAAATACTTTTGCTGCATTGATCTTATAGTAAAGTACGTTGTCTATCAGATTACTTAACCTTTGGTTTTGTTTAAGTCCGACTCTATTTGACTGTAAGAAAGATACTTTAGACTATTTTTTCGCACGCTGTTTTACATTTTTCTTCATCTTTGTCTGAACTTTTCCCTTGTTTTCGCAGACCATATTGCTCTTGAAATACTNGAAGGTWTACATTTTAAATTTGAAAGGAGTTTCTAAAAATGCAATAACTTTATAACAAATAGTTGCTGTGTGCTTGTTACTTGCGGATCGGCGAGTCTTCCAAAAAGAATTTTAAGTAAAGGATTTATGAATACAGGTTTTTTCGTTAAAATCTTATTAAATTTTAACTTCAATTCTAGACAAGCAGGGTCAAGCGTCGCGGCAAAGATCTGACAGTTAAAAGACAAGTCTAGCCACTATAAATTATGTAATATTAGCACCTGTGGCCAAGTGGTAGTGCCTTTGATTTCCCAGGCCCAGGTTTGAGATCCAGATGAGTACATACTTCTTTGATTTCTTTATTTGCCGAAAAATATATGAATCTTATCAAATATGGTATAGGGAGCCAGGTACTGAAAATTTAGTGAATAAATTACTATAATAAATTAATAATTCTGAACACAAGTATTGCATACTAAGTTTACAGGAAAGTGAGTGACTGACTGAGTGAGTGACTCATTCGTGCCCCTCCAATAACTCTCGCAATCTTCGAGTTAAAATGATCATAATTTCTGCATATTGCTGTATATAGAGAGARGGATATAAAAAAATATAGAGGTATATATAATTTAGAAAGCAGAATTTTTGACTTTTTGGGGTTTATATATTTATCTATTAACTTATCCACCAAACGATTCGTCCGAGTACGGCCTTATGCACTAGATCAACTCGATCTACCTCGTGGTCTTGGGACGTTTCCGGGTATGATTTTTATGTAAAAGACTACTCTTCACATTTCAATTAAAAACTTGTACAAACAACTTGTAGATTACATCAATTTAAATAAGTTTACCACATTTTTTTCTATTTTCGAGGCGTTTTCACGGTATTTTTCAAGAAGTATACCATGAATACCTTGTCATGACTGCATTCTTTCACTTTCGTATCGTGAAAGAATTGGTTCGCGTGATCTTATTGAATATTCTAGTACCAGAAAGCTTACATGTGATATCAATACCTTTTACATGTCTATATATCAGCTTCCTTGATCAATGAGGACACGTATTGTTGTTTGTTTAGGCTACAGTACTCACAGTCCTGGCTTAATTGGTGGACGGCAGACGGTTGTTCTGATCTGATTGCTTCCCAGCTCAGCCACAGGGAGCCCAAGCAGTGACTATATATTACATGGAGGGGAAATTTTTTTAAACCCATCTATAATGCATTGTGACACTGAATAAAATAAAAGTAGACCATATTTTTAAGTAAAATTTTATTTTTAACCATTATAGGTTCAAAGTCACTGCTTGGGCTCCCTGTGGCTCAGCTCGGCTTGGTGAGCATGCAACACAGCAACCCCAACCTTACCGTTTTGAAAGTAAACATTAAATAAAAAATACAATACAGACAAACGTGAGAATTATACATGTCYAAGAGTTCTAAACGAAAAGGACTAGTACCGATTTGAGGCTTTGCTTGATTTACCCAAAATAGATGGGAAACGTCGACCACTTTGACGTGACGCCACTTGTGGAATCCAAATCCAGCATACCCTCCTCACACTTCTCCTAGAAAGGAGAAGTATGATTTTGATTTTAAAAATTTTATATGGTAGATAGATATGAACGAAAAAGAAAACAAAAGTCATGTAAAGATTCTGTAGACAATGGGAAAAAATGAGGGAGTGTAAAAAGAAGGAAAAAGTTCAAAGTGATTGGGCTCCCTGTGGATGACAATCGGTGGGTGATCACAACAACAACATGGCGGATGGCGGGGAACAAGAAGATGATGAATTCAAATATCAAAGGTAGTACAGCAGATGTGTTCCAACCCTTCATTTGCGGTGTAATTTTAATTTGCTGAATAAAGCAGCTCATAATGAACGATGTATTATTTTGTCTAGCTAACAAAACATTCACACTGTGTTGAATTTACTCGTCATGATTTGAAAACATCTTTTGAGATTTCTGAATGATCAACCTTTTATTGACATTCTTTCTTTAGGATTAAACATCAGACTTCAACCATTTGGGAGACCATATCGGATAGAGTAAGTTATATCGAAATAATATGCTCGTATTTATTAAAAAACTACATTTTTTCGACAAATATAACTTAATTTGGAACGTGCACGAAAAAGAACTCTTCATGGAATGGATCATTCGTTTTCCTCGTAAATCTCATTATCTGACAAAGGGAAGTGATTTGATGCACTCTAATAATAGAATGCTGAAGAAAATTCTTTATCTCTTTTAGATTCTTGCTAGTCAAGATTTGTACTTGTCAATATGAAAATATGATAACACTGATCTTTCTGACTTACTTATGCCTAAAATCATACTGTTTTAGTTTAAGTTAATTTTGACACATAGTTATAAATTGTAATTCATATTAAGTCACAGTCTAGCGACCAAGATGTCTTGCATCAGTAGTATWTATTAATGCATAATGACATTCATAATGCTTCCATTGATGAATTCCGTCAGTTGTAAAGTCACTAAAAATATGTATAAAATCACTAAAAACAACTTCTTCTCTGATAACCTTGCGAGTTATTTTTACTGTTTCCTTTTTTATTAGGACAATAATTGCATGCAAAGGATGCTAGACAAAAATGAATGACATTAAAAAAAATTCTTCAAGRAAAAAATGTATTTGTGGGATTCAAATGTTTGCTCGCCCAGTGAATTAGCCTGATATTCAAACACGGTTTGTGTCCAACAATAATGTGTCATAGCCTTTCCTATCTTAAAATCAGGCTTACATTACTTTTCGTTAAAACATTTAGCAAGATTGAGCACCAAACTGTAGGATTGTGTCTGTAGTGTGACTGAATAGTTACAACTAGAAGAATGCAGATGACCAAAAGGACTCCTTTGGCGATCAAGGCATTTGTGGATAATTGATGAAGCTGCTTAAAATTCAAAATAGTGACCATGAACTCTTATTTAAAATTCCACATTATTGGAATTACCGTTTAAATTGCATTAAGCTTTTTTAATATCGATTCTTTCATCTTTTAGGAATTCAAACCAACTAGCATCACTGCTGAGCTGATAGAGACAATTTTCACAGTATTTGATGAMAAGGAATTCCCAATATGTGAAGATAAAAGCACATCAGAAATTCAAAGAGAAGTCTATAGCATAGCTGTTAAGTGCTGCTCAAAAGTGTTAAACCTCCTAGTGTCTTGTGACCCAATTCAGGTATTTAAGATAATTATAAATTTTTCATTTTCTTTCTGCTGTTTGATGGTATCAAAGGGTAAAWAGAACTTAGCTTGGSGAGTGGTAGAGGGGATTCTTTTTTATGGAAAAAGATGGTCTTAAGCTGGCAGTATGAGCTCATCTTAAACTCATGCAAGCAGTCAGGTGATGTTGGTGTTAAAAAYGCCCAAAWTAAATCAAGAAACCAGWCCAAAATRACRGGTTAATATGGTCACATTTAGGGTGAAATTTCACCATTGCCACGCCCATCATTTTACAATAGAGATCCATTTTTAGGGGTGATTTTAAGAACTTTTCAGAGTCCCATCCAATTTAAAATTCAGCTGATTAATCATCTTGCTATATATTTTCCAGTGTAAAGTTGACTGTCCTTCAATTGTAAAAAGATTATTAGAAGTTATTAATTCAAGGTAATAAATTTGATTATCATGTTTATTAGGAAATATTTTATAGTTTTTGTTTATTTGTTTATTTGTTTATTTATTTTGATTTTAACATGTTTGTAATATTAAAGGAGTGATGGTTCTGCAAAGTGTACAAACAGTTTAGATCTTCTTATAACAATTTTAGGTGGGTGAACTTTCAGTTGTTGTAAGTTTTATCTTCTTGGGTTTCAGTAATATCATACATTCCTTCTTGATATTTTCTTACAGATTCTATTGTTTCAATTATCGCCAATGACAAATCTCAAGTTCTTCAGGTGAGTACTACTCTGTTTATATCATGGCATTAGGTGCTCTAGTAACTTATTTTAATTGGCAACAAGTGCAATTTGAATGATGGTTTCATATTTATACATAGCTGAAAGGAAAAATTTTGGACTCTATTTTATTTGGCAATYCAACAGTCTSCTTYGCATTTCCTTGTGTCTTTTGTAACACATATATGGATAAGACATCTTTCTTTGATTCAAAAGGCACAGCTACATTTTCAACATTGATCCATTTTTGAGAATTCTTTTGAAGAACATTGATAATGAAATAAGATGCCTTGAGTTCATAGAGTATATCAAAAAACAAGTCTGAAAAGTATTATCATGAGGAAACAGCCGAAACACAACAACATGCTTCAGTTGGCACTCCAATCCCACCGTTAGTACATCATGCAAAACATTGCACAAATTCATTTTAGGAAAGGCAAATTATAGACCCTAATTACTACAGGAAAAAGTGGCATAATATTTTTTGATAAGATCCACCTTATAATTTAATCAATGGAGTCCACATTCTTGGCACAAGTGTAATCCTTTGTATTTTTTATCATTTCCTTCAGGCAATATTTGTTGGAGTTAGCTGCTTCCAAAGCATTGTTACAACATTAGAGTATCAGGTATTGATCTACCTTGCTATTCGTTTATTTTATTTTTCCTTTTTCTCTTTCCTTTCTTTATTGCTTAACCTGTCATCTCAATGCTATTCTATTGCTCATTATTTTTTCATTATTTTTAAATCATCATTCTTGGTTTAATTGGCCAWTTCTGAATTCAATTTTATAACAATTGCTGTTGAGTTAGACAACAGATTCTCTAGCACAAATATCTTACCAATGAAAAAGCTAAAAATAGCCATGAACCCTTTACTCCAAAAAGGCATTATGGATAAAATGTCAGTGTTTCTAAAGAAACCGTTGTGTAAAAAGATAAATTTGACACAGGGTTACAATATTATGTACCTATTGACTGAGTGGGAGGGCAGTACGGCAAAATGTTTGGCTCGAGGTTATGCTCGGTCCGTTCAAATGACCGAGAGCCAAATATTTTCCCGTACGACCAGACCTAACTCAGTCAAGCATTTTATCATGACAGCATTTTTTAAGCCATTTATTTGATGAAAAGATGTGTGAAAAAAATAAAAATGTGCGGAACTTCAAGCTGGGAAGATACAGGTTTGTACGGCCCCATTGCGAAAAGGCGTACAACCCCCATCATATGTGACCATTTCCCAAAGGTTTTTGAAGAGCACGCGTAGGGCTGAAATACGGGTCAATATGATAAACAGCAATTATTTGTTTTCAGAGTAATTAAGATTATTTGATATCTAATTACTTTACTTTAATTATTTCCTCTTGCCACAGACAAATGATAATGATAAAAAGAGCAAGTTGTTTGCAAGTTGTATCAAGGCTCTTTCTTCAGTGACTTATCAGTCTTCAGCATCAAAGGTACAAGACATATTTTAATTGGTTCTTTTATTGTATAGATTGT